AAACGACGATGCAAAATTTATGTGCTAAATGGTTTATTTTTAAATATTAAATGAGTGGTACTTCAGCCTTTCAACGTTCGACCTTCCAAAATGGAAAAACGCAATGTACCAGAAGAGAATCCCTTAAAGTGAGCTTATAGCATCCAATGGTCATTAGGGTCAATTTGCTTTCAAACTGACATTTTAAAATACCATTCTGCTGCAACTACAACTACAACAAAACAATAACAACAATTACTACTGATAAATACACATCTTGTAGGCAGTTCAATGAAGAAAGATAGTAAGATTCTATAAGAAAATATGATTATTGTTCTGGGGTTTGCGATAGACTTACCTCCACGTGGTGCACCCTGGGCAACGTATACTCATAAGGCAAAAAAGTCCATTGACCGACAGTTGACTTCTGACTTCAAACTACCATGATCACACTGCATTTCATATTCGAATAATTCCACAGTACTCATCTTACCTTACCTTTTCTCCACCTTTGTGTCTGTCTGTCTATCTCTTTTACATCTGTGAAACATTTTTCTGACCCCCTCTCGAATTTTTGCCACTTTGATGTTCATCTTCCTATCTGTGAAGCCCAAAGTCAACTAAAGGGCTAATGATACCTATCAGGACTTTTTACCACTTGGATGTTTATCTTCCTTTCTGTGAACTTTTTGCCACTTTGGTGTTCCTCTTCCTTTTTGTGAAGCAGGGCGCCGGAACTAAAGGGCTAATGATACCTATCATAACGCCTGCCATTTGAAATAAGTAAATAAATGATCATTGTTCTTTTATGAAATTATGAAGAAGAGTCAACGTCCATTAGCAAACCAAGTGTAACATTTTCTGATTCTATTAAGGAAAATCCTAAGGTTAATTATATGGGTACTTGATTATGAATTATACCAATACAGTATTTGTGTCTGGCTGCGCAAGATATCACCAATTTCTTATTCAGGTTTCTCGAAGAAGGGTTATCCATCGTCCACTATGGTATCTCACTATTTATAGTCGAGGTACAGTCTCAACTTAGATTTGGACGACAGGGACATATTTCCGCATCCTCATATAGGTCTCTGCATTTATAATGCCTTTACGAAATAGTGAGGACACTAAAATGGAGTCAAGAAAATGATTGTAGTGCGGGAAAAGAATAAGTGAAATCTTAGCCACTCCACTACAAGCTGACTGAAGAGGAAAAATGTCAACCAATCGAATTCCTTAGGTAAGCTTGAACTAAGCTTCACGGACCCCATTGTCTAGCTTTTCGCCTTTTAGCTCACGAGCTACAATAACCTTTTTTTCCTCAGCACTGCGCTATAGCACGCTTAACTGTTCATGCTTTAACCCTCCCCCTTACCAAACACTTATATACAATTTGACCAAACTTATTCACCATGAGGTGCATATAAAACGAATGGCCGCTGAACAGTGGGAGATAAACATTTCTGAGGACCGGAACCAAATAATTCCTCCAAAGCCTTATTGGAATCACCTAAATGCCATCGCCATAGGATAGAACGAGAAGTAAGGAGAACATTAATTCATTACATAAGCAACTCATGAATCTCTATTGCCATTCTAGAAACTATCGCATCAATATTGCCAGTAGCTTATTCCACATTGCATTCACCAAATACATTTGGGGAAGTACAGTTGACTGGTTGGCTGATTTGAGTACCCACTAGAAGCACCCTCGCACCACTACCAACCCCACTCACACCAACGGCCCTCATATTCTTGTGGTTCTTGTCTATCGCTCTTATCACCTATCGTTCATCGTCATCCTTCTAGCCCACCTTTACCTAAAACGGAGAACTTAGTGAACTCCGGTCTTTCTTACCTTGATTCCATCTCAAAGGGAATCTTTCATATTGCCAATATATATCCTTCAATCATGACACCTACAATTTAAACATTCAAGGACAAAGAAGACCACCAAAATATGGAGATGTAAATGCCAATGTGGGAGTACTTACTCAAACCTGTCAGAAGCATAAAACATGGGACAAAATCCAAATCCGCGGTGGTAAAGGTCTGAACATCTTTGGAGTGCTCAACTTTAGGAACGAACGAAATGGTGAACATCTGATAAACCTATACGAAGTAAATTGAATGACAGTTGGCAATCAAAGGTCATTATTACTAAAATCAGTCCTTATAATCTATAGAAATGCCTTCTTGAATTAGTGGAGATTCGTTTAGCATCAAAGGTCTATGAAAGGTCAAATTTTCACATAAGGGAACTTAGATTTTACCCCCAACATATAGAAGAGTGATATAGGGATTGTACAGTTGAAGATAAACGTGAGCTAATTTTAAATAGTAAAAGTCCCATTGAAGAACTTCATCGCGCAACTTCAATGACGAAGATTAAACTTGTGCACTCTTCTTCGCAGAGAAGAGGACGTATTAAAGGAAGAACTATTGAAATCACATCAATAGTAAGTGCTACAAAATCCGTAAATGCAAAAAAAGTTAAACCGAATTCAGAAGGATGTTAATGAGGTATTCGGCAGGAAGTCTAAAAAAACCGGAATGGTGAATTGAAGTAAAATTTCTTATTCTCGCGTTATTTAAATTTAAACGTAGGGTCTTGGTGTTCTCAGAATTTTGTCAATGAGTGTGAGATGGGGATGTACAGGCAGATCGATCACTCCAGACCTAAACATAATGTGCCTAGCAGATGATTGGTAAATGAAATATTTGAGTAGAGAATGACTCCAGTATTATGTGTAAGCAATCACTTAGAAGTTTCCTACTCAAAGCAAAAGAATGCATGGAAAGAATAAGTCGAGAAGTTGAGCTCTAAGTGACATTTTTCTGATAAATAAAAAGCTCCAATGGACTAAGGTTCTTTTGAATTCCGGCCTCACTCCTACTGCATATTTCACGGCGTTCTGTTAAACGGTGAGCATATGCAACTTTATAGATCTTCACTTCGTCTGCGTTTAGGTTTTTTTGCGATGAAATTTCTACATTTTTCTAGTTTTGCTGTGAGAAATAAACAAGCGAAAGTCTCAACGGAGCAAAAAGGTTCAGAATCAGTTAAGAGGAAAAATGAAATTAAATTGATGTGTCCTCAATGAAAATTTATTAATGCATCTTATGATGAAATCATGAAGCACCTTCGAATTAAGCACTACAATTCTTTGCCCCACTCTCTACAGTTTATATGCCTTTACTGAGCTCTGCTAATTCTAAGAGAACAACAAACAGGGCCGCCTTTACTCATTCATTCTGAAGCATTTACCGATTTCTCATAAAGTAAAGAAAGAATTTGATCCAGTGTTGTTCCTCCGGCAGAGGACTTATTACACAAAACTCACTAAATTACATTGCAAGTGAATGCTGAGATTTTTACGCCATTTTCTGATATTTCCAAATTATTAGTTCATTTTGTGTCCTTAGTGTAATTGACTCTCTCCATCATCTCTCACACCGAGCAGGTCAATAGTGAAAGGCAGCCATAATAGTATGGGTATAAATTTCGTGCCAAATATTTTATGACTTAATGAGTGGAATGATTCCATTAATATCAACACAATATAAAATTGACCATGTGACCTTAAATGTTTAGTTATTACATCATGTAAGCAATGACCTTATTGTGTTCGAATCGGGGTTACTATCACACTTGGTACAATCGTAGGCTTCTAAAATTGGCTAATTTCAATTACCATTTATACGGAATCGAAAGAAACAAAACAGATAACTATTGATTTAGGAGGATTTGGAGTAATCAGCGTTATATTTAACTTGTTAATTCAAAATTGAGGAAAAATTTAAAGTTCTAGGAGTTTAAAACAGATTGTTGGTATAATGCAAGAAAAGCACTACAAATAGTTCAATTGCACTTTTCGCTATAGTGTATAACAATTTTTAAAGAAAACCATACTTGCTTTCTGACCAAAAGTCTAACCCTATCAGAACGATATCAATTTCACCGATAGAAATGTACTCTACGGTTTCAAAAAATAGTTCACGAATAAAAAATGCTTCCATTGATTCCTGAAAAAAACTTGCTATTTATTCTCATATGGACATCGAACAAACTTAGCGAACAAACCTGCCAAACTATTTCTATTGTTAACTGGAATTTCTCCAGTACTAAGTAGTTTACTGAATTACCTGGCTTACAGAAGGTCCTCTAAAGGCCTCAAATTGCTTAATTTAATAAACTAAGGTAGATGGAATTACTGTAAAATGGTTTAAGACTATGTTCTTTGTGGGGGTATCAATGAATAGCTGAAGAAAATTTGGTTCAATTAATGACTCAATGGGGAAAAAGAAGTGGAAGTGTTTTCGATTAAACTAGAAGGGTCAACACGTGGGTGCTTATGCGCGCCACCAAGTTATAAAAGTTTAATACAAATCTTTTAGGACATTACAAGAAGCAAAGTTCGAAATTATCGGCGGATTGCACTATATAAATACACAAAAATGCTTTGTTAAATAAAATCAAATCGTTTAAAGAGTGCTAGTTATTCATCGTTGGTAGAATATTTGGAATAGGTAGATTAGAAGTTGATCTAAGCGATATTAATTTATGCCATTAAGAAATGAAAGAACAAACTCTCCAATCAGTAATTGGCAAACTAATTCAGATTTTAAGTTGTTTTGACCTCAAAGTCTCTATGATATTTCTATAGCAACTGAACTAGATCGTTTCGGACATTTCTTATTACACACGAAGGATTCAAACTTCTTCAGGTGGGACGATATTTCATGGTTATATTTACCCTTATTTCATTTAACGGGAATTATTTACTGTATTCGGCTTTATAATTAAAACGATCCCCAGAAAATTGTTTTAACTGAATATACGAAATGAGTAGCTTACTTACAAACAAAATAATAACTTAAGCAAAAATAAGTCTTATGATAAGTTTGGTTTAGAATTTATCGTTCTCAAGTAAAATATTAAAGTTATTTGCATCAAATACAAATATTTTGTCAAATAGTAATTTTGCTTTGTGATGTGTAAAATTTATTAAAAAGAATTACTAAATTTCTGCAATATCGGCGCCAGCAGCAATCAATAATTCCACCACATTAAATCGCTCTTTATTCTGGGCTTCTCGAAGGGCCTCATTCAACTCGGTCTGTTTCAAAAGATTTTGGTCCGCACTTTCCAGAAGAAGTCGAACGATTTCAATGTGACCCTAATAACAAAAAAGTATATAGATATATGTTATCAAATAAACTGGTTTTACATTTATTCCTGTTCTAGAAACGTACATTTTTACTCGCAAGAGTGAGTTCCGACTCGTTAATCTTATTCAATTGATAGTGGGGCCTAATTTTTTCATTAAGGAGATATTCTACCACTTTGAAGTGACCGTTTTCAGCTGCCAGCATGAGAGGATTCTTAAACATTCTGTTGCCGACAAACGCCAAACTTCCTTCCCTCATTAACAACTTGACGCATTCTAAATGACCGTGCTTAGCTGCCAAATTAATAGCGAAATTGCCATCTTTATTCTGAGCCAGTAGTGATGGCTTATGTGGGAATATGGCTCGCATGATCTCTCCAAATCCATTTGACGCAGCTATATGCAGAGCTGTGTTGCAGGAAGATCTTTCCCTCGTGTTTACATTGGCCTAAAATTTAGAATGTATTTGAGAAAAATAAAAGTATTAACTGATTAATAAGGCTTTTTGAAGGTGTTTTTTAAGTCTACATTCAAATATATTTACTTTGTTAGCAATTGCTTAACAATGTGACCAACATTTATATTAGATCTGAAAGAATGCGTCTTTAAAACCAGTTAAACAAAAACGGTGTGCGCTTATTCTACTGAGCATGGTTCAATCGAGTTCTTGAAAAATTTCGACTTCCTAATTTAGCATTACCCTTTTTAAACTGTTGAACTAATTTTCATTTTATATAATAAGTTCAACTTTTAAAATATAAACTTCGTAATGAGAATGCGTAAATCTTGTTTATTCGTTATTTCTGAATGTTATATTTAATACTGTGACTTGTTATGGCATTTGATCTGATTATCAGACCAAATCTCATCTTTGATTTCGCACCCTTTAAACTTCTGTTACTATGTTCTGTTTGCTGAACCATTACAATCTACGATAGTAATGGTAATAATATTTCTTTAAGCACAGAACAGTAAGCGAATCACCATTATTACATCGAATATAATCAGCAAAGTATGAGCGTGGTCGCACAAACGGCGCCATTCTGAATACGCTTAACAATTCAGATCAACTATATGAGCGTCACATTAAGGGATTCTCAGAAGCACGTTTTCAGGCTCTCTCTTTTTGAAGTTTACCTTGTTCTTATACATTGCCAGACAGAAACATTTAAAAGAGTAGCGTGTTATAAAAATAGAAAAAGCCGAAAAGAAAACATGGAGGAGAAACTTACACCATATTTTAAGGCTTGAATCACCCCGAGTACATCGTTTTTATATGCCGACCTTAAAAGCAAGTGATTAATAAGATGATCGGGATTTCTCAAAGGATGACTGCATTTCAGCTAGAAACACGTCAATGAATTAAAAAACCTCTTACCTCTAAAGTGGGGTCCTTGCTCATATCGGTGCACAGCAGACTTCATACAGTGATTCATTTAAACAAATTAGTGTATTATAAAAAACTGTTAACATTTAAAATTTCAAGAAATTCCAATAAAAAATAATTTCATTATTTATTAAAATATAATTAATGACAATATAATAAAAATTTTAAAATTTCCGATTCCTATTGTTCGTTTTAATAAAGTGCCACTTGTTACCGTAGTATTTGAAATGTGATGTTAAACGTCGATGCCATTATTTTCATTACATTAATGTCAACAGAAATGCAAAATTTTATTTAAATTCATTTTTTTAAACTTCGCTTTTTTCGTAATTTGTTAATTAAAATTTTATTATTATTATTACAAATGGCAGGCTTTATGAAATTTATCAATAGCCCTTAAATTTTGACTTCAGCTTCCCCCAAGGGTGGGAAGTACATTTAAAGCAGTTAATTAATAGCAGTTCATTAGCCGTCTTCTTGCTTCCTAGTATCTCTGGCTTTCCGTCGTTGCCTTTAGGGCTGGACACCGAATCAGGTGGGTCTTCTCCATTTCCTCCTGTAGGTTACATAGGGGGCATGTGGGTTGAGTACATACTCCCAATCTCTGAAGGCGTTTTGCCAAGCAATCGTGTCCGGTACGTAGTCTAAACTCAGCAACGGCTTCGATTCTTGGCCAGTCGGGTATGTCGGAGAGTGCCACTCTCCACTGTTTCTCCTTTGTTCGAGCTTTGAGTTCGTTGAACCTTGAGGTCTGGAATTCTCTCCTGATTATGGCCTTCTTTGTGTGGAAAGACATCGGGGGGG